TACGCCCCCCCCCCCCATTTTGCTGCCTCCCCTTCCCCTCCCTCTCTCCTCCCCCAATCAGTCTCACCCACTCTCATTCCTCCTTCCTCCCTCCCTCTTTCTCTCTTTCTCTTTCCTCCCCTTCTCTCCTGTCTCCCGCTGCCCACCGACAGTACTGTGGCCATCCGCCTTTAACATCAACTCCCGGCGGCTCCGGCGCGCGCGCGCTCAGTGATCAGGAACAAATAATGCATGTGTGTGTGTGTGTGTGTAAATGAGTGAGCGAATGTGTGAGTGATATTATACGTACACCTGCTTTCATAAACTGTTGTTTCTAACTGTTCTTTGTAACAACAACAACAAAAAAAAATGCGGTACCCATATGACACCACGACTACGTAATACAAACTAGATTAGCGACATGACAGACGGAATTACCGCGATCGACAGACTGCCAGTCAAGCACCCGTATGTCACCCACTTCATGTTCGGTTCCTTTTTGTGAAAAGTAAATACTAAGTGTGTTTTCCTTGCGAGGAAGTGGAGCAGTGTACCAGTTTAGCCGTTCAACAAACTCCATAGAACGGACGCCAGTATGCTATTCAGTGCAACGGTACATGTCCGGTGTTGCAGGTACTACTTTATGCGTGGATGGCATTACGCTTTCTTTTTTTTCTCTTTTTTTTACTTTTCATTTTTTTCGTTGTAGTTTCAGTTTTTTTTTTTTTTTCAAAATAACTAAGTATATGGAACTTCTGCTTTTTCCTCACTGGAATTAATAAATAGATGTAAATATTCATGGGTGGGTGCTTCATGCTCGGGGTGATGTGAAGCGATGGTGTGGTAGCCTAGGTAGTGTTAAGTGCTTGCATGCCTTCTCGCTTACAGCTGCCACCGCTGGCTAGCCTGGCGCGAAAAGGGAGCAGCTTTGCATAAGACTCCCCTGCCAGCTCATAGCCTCTCCATCATCAAGACTTCTGCAGTGCCTCCTCATGGCCACCCATGGAAACTAGGCACCTTGCGGTCCTAGGCTGAACTGTGGAGGCTCTTGGAGCAGCAGGAGGCCCTAAAGGTACGGAGTCATGGCCCACCGGCGTGTGGACACGCCCTGGCTCCGTACCAACTCCTGCCCCCCGGGGTTAATGGGCGGCTGTGGGGGGGCAGGCCTTGCTAGTCTGCCCCTCCGAGACAACTCTACTGGCAACGGATCATATAGAAGTTGGTGCTGGGGGGAGGGCTAAAGCCCCTCCCACCCAGCAAGAACGGCGGGTCCCTCTGGGTTGGCGACCGCTGGGACTCGGGCGGGGAGGGGGGGTTACCCATCATCCCATCTGGGTCCCAGCGGCCGCCAGCCTGGCGTGATGCTTGTGGGGGAAAGCCCCCGGGAGCCCTGCAGGTGGATTAGGGGACCTGCAGCCAGCCAACCTCTGTATGGGGCGGCGTCGGTGGGGGTGGCAGAGGTGGCGCCCACCCGGAGTGACTGCCAGAGGTTAGACCTCAGGCGGGCTATCAGGGTGGGGGCTTGGAACGTCCGTTCCCTGCGGCAGGATGATCGGTTACCACTACTGTCGAGGGAATTGAAGCGGCTGAGAGTTGAGGTGGTTGCTCTCTCGGAGGTGAGAAGACCTGGCAGCGGCACGATTAGTGTGGGTGGCTACACATACTACTGGTCGGGCCGCAGCGATGGCCACCATCTCCAGGGAGTAGCCATAGCCATCTCCAGCCGATTTCAACCCTCGGTAGTAGAGGTCACTCCAGTCGATGAGCGTATAATGGTATTGAGACTGAAGCTGTCATTTGGGTTCATGTCTCTTATTGCTGTGTACGCTCCTACGGATGTATATAAACTTGAGGTGAAAGAGATGTTCTACGCCAAACTTGCATCTGTGGCAGACAGTTGTCCTCGGCGAGATATTCGTATTGTTCTGGGCGACTTCAATGCGGTATCCAGATGTGATCGAGCTGGCTACGAGATGTCTGTTGGTCCCCATGGCTCTGGAGCTGATACTGGCAGCGAGAATAGCTTCCTTTTCCATAACTTTGCTAGGTCCCAGAAATTGAGGATCTCTGGCTCCTGGTATAAGCGTTCTGACCCGCATCGCTGGACTTGGTACAGTGATACGGGTAGGGCGGCCAAGGAAATCGACCACATCCTCGTCAGCACTCGGTGGAGGATCCTCCAGAACTGCAGGGTGTATCGAAGCGCCGAGTTCTATGGAACTGATCATAGACTAGTTGTGGCTACTCTCCGGGTCCACTTTAGAACCCCCCATCGACCAAATGAACACCCCAGGGTGTTTCATCTGGACAGACTGAGGGAGGATGAGTGTGCCCGGGGGTTTGCTGAGGCTATCTCTGATCGTCTCACAGCACTCGAGGGCCTGACAGACCCTGTCGTTATGTGGGTTTCCTTCAAGCGTGAAACGCTTGATGCAGCTCAGGAATCCATTGGTGTACGCCCAAGAGCAAGACAGAATTCCATCTTGCAGGAGACACTGGAAGCCACAGAAGCTTGTCGTGCAGCTCGATTGTCAGGGGATCGCAATTTGCACCGTTCTCTGGCGCACAGGACTAGGTCACTGTTGAGAAGGGATAAGGGACAGTTTATCAGTAATCTTGCAGAGGAGGTCGAAAGCCATTTCCTAGTAAATGACCTTCGTCCTGCCTACCAAGCTCTGAGAAAGCTGAACTCCAAGCCCTCCTCACAGACGACGGCAGTCCGCTCAGCAAGTGGCCAGGTAATCTCAGATCCTGATGGGGTGCGTGTGCATTGGGCTGAGTATTTTGAGCAGCTGTATCAGGTTGATCCACCAACATTTAACTTTGATGCTGGTAATGTTGAGACTCCTCTGCCAGACCCACCCATCAGCGAGGATCCACCCACCCTGACTGAAGTCAAGGGGGCGATCTCCAAGCTGAAGAGTGGTAAAGCAGCAGGTGTCTGTGGCATCCCAGCTGAATTGTTAAAGGCTGGTGGAGAACCTATGGCAAGGGGCTTGCATGCAGTCCTGTCTGCCATCTGGCAGGCCGGTACCATTCCCCCTGACCTGCTGAGGGGTGTGGTCATCCCTCTCTGGAAGGGGAAAGGGGATCGGTGGGACTGCAGCAATCACCGAGGCATTACACTCCTCAGTGTACCAGGCAAGGTACTCGCCCACATCTTACTGAGACGTATCAGAGACCACCTCCTGAGGCACCAAAGACCGGAGCAATCTGGGTTCACTCCTGGTAAGTCCACAATAGACTGTATCCTGGTGCTTCGAGTCATTGTAGAGTGCCGTCGTGAGTTCGGACGTGGGCTGCTCGCAGCCTACATCGACCTCAAGAAGGCGTTTGATACGGTGCATCGCGAATCACTCTAGGAGATCCTGAGACTGAGAGGAATTCCAACAAGGATTGTTGGGCTAATAGTAAACCTGTATACAGGCACTGAAAGTGCTGTAAAGTGTGGTGGGGGCCTGTCGAGCTTCTTTCCTGTTAGTTCAGGCGTGAGGCAAGGCTGTGTTCTTGCACCAACACTTTTCAACACTTGCATGGATTGGATACTGGGTAGAGC